GAGGAAATTTGGATACACAAGGAGGCACCAAGGATGCACCCAGAGAAAAGACTGTGTGAGGACACAGCAAGGAGGTCACTGTCTACAAGTCAAGGACAGGCCTCAGAAGAAACCAAATCTGCTGACATCTTTATCTTGGACCTCCAGCCTCCAGAACGGTGAGAAAATAAATTTCTGTTGTTTAAGCCACCCAGTCTGTGGACTTTATGGCCCTGGGAAACTGATATAGTATTACATCGATGTTAAAGCTTCTGAAGATGAAAACCATTTTCTGGTTATGTATTACAGTGTCCTTGTTCTTAGATAATTCCTCCTGAAATATTTAGGGGCAAAGGGTCATGATATCTGCAACTTACTCTTAAATAGATCAGCAATAATGATTCTGGTGATAATGAGTGTATAAACATATTAATAATCGGTGAATACAGGTGAAGGGTATAAGTGGGATTTCATTTTATTATTCTTTTCGCTTTTCTATAAGTTTGATGTTTTTCAAAATAGACACTTTTGAAAGAGTCCCTTTAATTCACTTAAGTTGGGAGCAGGGAGGGATCTTTCGGAAAAAGTAACCCTAACTCAACAGCAGAAGCTCGAGTGCCTACTCTGAGCTAGGCACGATGCCCGGCACTTCACTACACACTCTTGGGTAAGGACCAATGTTTCTCATCTTATGGAGGAAGAACGGAGGCTCCAAGATAGGAAGCCACTTGCCTGAGACCACAGAGCAAGGAAGCGGTGCAGTGGGAAGTGAGCCAGGTGGGGTCCGCCTTCACAGCCCTTCCCACCCTTCCCTCTGTGCAAATAAATGGAGTGCACATGGTAGGCGTTTAATAAAGACTGAAAGGGAAAGATACCTGTGTTGCTGAGAGGCCTGGATGCAGGAATGGGCCCTCTTAGAGCCGCGGCTCCGCTGTGCTGTTGGAAATCACCGCCCACAGCCAGCGCCCGAGATGCCAGCCAGAGGGGTTGCGCCTCCACTACGGCGACCCCAGGGCACCTCTCCCTCCTGACCCATCAGACCCACCTCCTTTCTCGGGGATGAGAAAGCAGGAAGAAAGGAGGCAGGCCGGTAGGTCTGGCACTGAGCCCACCCGTTGCAGGCCCCAGATGAGACTTCCAAGATGCTTCATCCTGAATAAGGGCAGGCATGTTCCCCCTCCCCGGGGTCTGCACGGAGTGACGGGGAAAGTAACCCACCTCAACCCTGCGCAGGAGCGCAGGCAGTGACGCAGCACATCTGGGCCTGGCAGAGCTGCTGCGACCAGGCCTCAGGCGCTCATTACTCATCACTTTCCTAGGGGTTCTGGCTACATCCTCCTGCAACCTAAGAGCCCAGTTCCTCAGGATGGGAAGGTGATGCTACCAAGCCCGCCCCCAACACAAGGACCCCACCTGCCCTGATCCCCACCACACTGGCCACCCCACACCCCACACACCTGTGCCCACACCCCTCCATGCTGCCCTCCGCCCCATAGAACACGTATCTCTTTCCTCCCTCATGCCTTCTCTCCATTCTACTTCCAAGCAACCCCATTTTCCCCAAATCCCAGATACATCCCTTCCTTTAATCAGTCTTAATTCACTAAGTCAACCATCTTTCCGACTCTCAAAGCAGGACCCTCAAACCTCCTTCCCTGCCAAGCCCTGCCTGCCACCGCCCAGAGTGGCCCGGTGTACTGGAACGGGTACTACTAGACCTCACTAAATCCTCACAACCACTCTGGAGGTCGGGCAACATTGAGAACTAAATCCATCTCCACCTCCACCACTAAAGGAGAAAAGACGGAGGCTCAGAGAGGCGAAGTGACTGGCAGGGGGCCACACAGCTACTGAGCAGCTGAGCCAGGATTCAAACCCAGGACGGCCTGCCCCAAAGTCAGCGCTCTGAACTGTCGGCTCTACCAGCTCCCAAATAGCCCTGGCCAGACTGGAGTGGGGATGACCTTTACATCCTTGAACCCACACCCCCACACCCCCAGAGTAGCTTCCCCTGGCCTCCCTCACGAGTACCTCTTCTGAGTCATTCTTCACACAGCACTTTTCTGCTCAACTTAAATTCCTTAAGTTTAGGATAACATCTCTTCATGGTCCGAAACCTGGTACTGCACTTTGTTCCGGGGTCCAAAAGAGTCTGTTAATGGGGTTTGTGGCTGCCCCACGCTGGCAGTTCCTGGGGCTTAACGGGTGGGAGGCAGTGACTGGCCACAGTCACTGAGAAGCTGCAAACCCTGGAGTAGGTCTAAGCAGAAACTCAGACTAGGACCCCTAAAACCACCAAGCAGGAAAGGATCAGAGAGGTTCATGCCAAGGTCACACAGCCAGTAAACGGCACAGCAGGGACTCTGGTGGGGAAACTGGCTCAGAGAAGGGAAGTTTCCTGGCCAGACTCACACAGCAAGCTGGCAGAACTGGTACTTGAACCCAGGGCCTATAATTCAGTCCGCTGCTTTGTCATGTTACCCACCAAACCGCAAACCAGAACACCAACTTAAATTAGCAAGTCAACCCTCCCTCCCACCCAATTCCCTTGTCTTGCTCTATTTTTTCCTATTTCCATGGCATCACCTTCTAACATACTTACATACTTATCATGCTACCAGAACACAAAGTCCACTAGTTCAGGAGTCTTTAGTCTCTTTTGCTTCCTGATATTCTTCAAGCACCTAAAACAGTGCCTGCTCCATATACTGAAAGCTCAGTAAATAGCTGCTGAATAAGTAAACCAGTCTAACAAACATTCACTGAATACTTGCTATGGCCAGGCTGTGAACTGCAATCATTTTGCTGGATCCCAAAGACATGAATGCTCACTGACACAAGCCCACATTTCACCTGGCTCCACAAAGGAGCCAGCACACTAACCCAAACACAAGCCAAAGCTGGACATTTCCTTCAGGAACCAAGCTCTCAAACCAAACTAAGACATGGTCTATCTCTGAACCGAAGAGAACCCAGATTTCCCAGAGGCTCCCTCTGAGAAGCAGTTTCATCCCATCCCCAAAAAGGCCCAGCAAAACTCAAGAGGATCTGCAGCCCCTCAGCCCAGCCACACGCTGCCAGGTTCACAGCTGCCACTTTTCAGCATTACTTTTGCTAAACAAGTCTCAATTAGATCTGCTACAGCCCAGGAGGTTATCAGTGGTCTTGGCCAGCGGGGACAGTGCATCTGTACCAGATGGTTCTCCCTGCGATGTCAGATGAGGGGGATCCAGAAATGTCCTTGGCCTTGTGGCCCTCTCCTTAGTGCTGTCCAGTACCCCTGGTGGAAGTGCTGCTGGGAGGGCAAAACTGGAGCCAACTCTGAGAGCGTGAGAGCTGCAGACGTCGACTCCCTGAGTTCCTGCAGCAATTCCCAAGGAGCCTCTCCTTCAGCCACCACGGACAAGGTGCCCAGTGATTCCATGTGCATCTGGGTTTGGCTGAACCAGGCTGCAGAGGGCAAGACTTGGAGGCTTTCAAACTATGGTTTTTCATCAAAGCCAAAAGGCTGTTCCAACAAGCCCTGAGTCTATTTGTCTCAGTCCAAGGAAGAGAACAACAACCTCCAAGGAGACTGTTTGAGAGAAAAGTAAGGCATTCCAGAAATGCTGCCCTGCTTCAGAATGGTCTTCCGGAACAGGGAACCTGCAGTAAACATTTACTGAACTCTTTTGTGCACAAGGTGCAGCAGAGGTAGGCCAGTGACTGATTCCTGCTCCACCTTCCAGCTGTGTTACCTGAGGCACATGCTGCCTCTCTGAGCCTTGGTGTCTTCGTTTGCAAAATGAAAAACAGTGACTGAATCTTTCCTAGGATTGTTGGATGAGTTCAATGAAATAATGCTGAGTCCAGTGCCTGCCACATAAGAAGTGCTTAATAAGAGGCAGTTCTTGCAAAGGAAAGGACAGACAGTATATTGAGAAAAGAAAAATTAATAAGGGCTTTCTAGACGTCCTGTAAGCCATTATTTATGCATTTAGGTATATCCTAAGCGTCTGTTGATGCCTGATTTTTCAAATAAACTTAATCCTCTCAGCATCTTCGGGTAGAAGGGGCGGAGGCCGGAGAGACAGTCCTCGTGACAAAGGACGAAAACAAGGCCCCCGAAGCGGCCAGGGAAGCTTCCAGGGAAGCGGCCAGGGAAGCTTCCAGGGAAGCGGCCAGCAAGCACCCTCTACCCTCAAACCCTCCCGGGTGGGTTCAAAACACCAGACGCGACTCTCCTCGGGGAGAAGTGGCTGGAAGTGATCATTAGCGGGGCAGTCGGGGCTGGTACTTTAATTCATCACCGCTAAGAAATGGTCATCTTTTGTCCCTAAAGAAAAAAGTGCCCGTCAGGGCCCAGACCCCGGGGAAATACAAGTCAGCGCTTCGAGACGCCACACACGTGCTTTAAACGCTGGGTCAGGCCAAGGCAGAAATAAAAGAGAAAGCGGCCCCTGTTTCGGAGAAGCAACGAGCCCCTGGGGGCTCGAAGTGGGCTGCTGGGGCCCGAGAGGATCCCCTGGGCGCCGGCTGGAGGAGGGGACAGGGCGGTGGCGGCCAGGGTGGGGGGGAGGTGTCCCAGGCTCAGCTCACCTGGCCGCGGCGTTCTGCGTAACAGGCAGGGCCAGGCCCCGCCGGCCCGTAGCTGGACTGGGCTCGCCCCTTCTCGAAGAGACCCGGCCCCCTGAAGCAGCTGGCTGCTGCCCGGAACTCACCTGCCGTAGCAACCGCGCCACCTCCGCCTGTCAGTCAAGAGCGCCTTCCGCGGCTCAGCGCAGCGCAGGGTCATGAGGCCCGGCCGGCCGCGCCCCGCCTCCTCCCCCTCGGCTGCCCAATCGGGAGAGGCCAACGCCAGGGGTAGGGGCGCGGTCAGATGAACGGTATGGGCCGAGGGCGGGGCCTGAGGGCTTGGGGCCGGACCGGGCCGGGCCGGGCCGGGCCGGGCCAGGAAGGGGCCGGCGCTCTGATCTCACTGCTGAGCGCCGGAAGTATCCTAGATCTCAGCGCAGGGGCTCGGCGGCTAGATCGTGGTGCTGGCGCGACTATGCCGGTCACCGGGAAGACTTTCCGCCGGCGCCAGGCCGACTCGGAGTCGGAGGAAGATGAGCAGGACTCAGAGGAAGTTCGGTGCGTTTGCGGCGGGCTTCCACGGGGCAGGAAGAGAGAGGCAGCCTAGGGGGACTCACCACCGGCCAGGCACCTTGTTGACAACATTGCTAATTATGAGCCGGGTTGTTATCCCCTTCTGTGAAGAAATTGAGGCCCCTAGGGATGAGACCGCCGCCCCAAGGTCTCATGGTTGGGAGAGGTGCCCCTGGCATGCACAGCGGTTCTGACTCCCGTTGGTGGGTCCAGACGCAGAGTCACCCTCTGGACCGCTGCGGGCAGGCAGCGAGGCAGGGATGTCCCTCGAAGGTGCCTTTTGACTTGAGTTCCGTGGAGGGTCTCTCAGCCTGTGCATTTTTTTTTTTTTTTTTTTTTTTTTTTTAGATTAAAACTGGAAGAGACCCGAGAGGTGCAGAACTTGAGGAAGAGGCCCAACGGGGTGAGGTAGGTACTGCGTGGGGGAGAGGACCCGGAGGAGGAGGGCATGACCGAGACACCACCTACCCCGACTCCCCCATCCCCACCCGGTCGCTGTCACAAATATCTCCTCAGACATAGCCCCTTCTCTTGACACACTTCACACCTTGTACTGCCTGGGGAGGGGTCCAGGCGTTTTTTTGCAGATGTTTAACCAGGACATGCCCCGAGCCTTGTGAACTTGAAGTTTGCTCCAGAGGTACAGAAACAGGTCATTGATCAGTGTTTTTATTGTCAAATGCACACTGTGATTAATTGTGACATGCACACTGATTGTTAAGAGTTTGGGGAAATTTAGAAAAGTATAATCATGAAAATAAACAGTACCCATAATTCTCCCATACAGAGGTGATCAGTGTTAACATTTAATGTTCTTCTCCTGTCTGTTTTCTCTCTTTTTTGTAAAGACGATGAACAGCTTTACTTTTATTCTGTTGTTCTTCGGTAGTCCCCTCTTATCCACGGGGGCTATGTTCTGAGACCCCCAGTGGATACCTGAAGACTGGGTAGCATTGAACCTTATGTAGGTTATTTTTTGCTATACTGATGGGTGGGTAGTGTATACAGTGTGGACACTCAGGACAAAGGGATGATTCACCTCCTCTGTGGGACGGGGCAGGATGGCAGAGATTCATCACACCATTCAGAACAGCTGGTAATTTAAAACTTACAAATTTTTTATTTCTGGAATTTTCCATGTAATATTTTTGGACTGCAGATAACTGACACTGTGGAAAGTGAAACCACAGATAAAGGGGGACTACTGTACTTTCAACTTATGATATTGTGGGCATTCAACCACATTGTGGGTAATTTTTCCAAAAACCTTTTTAATATCTGCATAATATTCTATCAGATGTACATATCATAATTTAACTTACCCCTTATTTTGGGACCTGTAGATCATTTTTTAAAATTTCACCATCAAATAAGGCTGCAAGAGTATTTTCCTGCATTTGTCTCCAGCTTCATTTTCCCTGAAGGCATAATCTTAGAAATGAGATTTCTAAGCCAAGATAATGCTAAATGACTTTACAGGAAAATGTACCACTGACGTCACCACTACCCCCACCTCCAGCATCTAGAGTGTTTCTTGGACCCTGTTATTCTCGTAGGCTTTTCCAGCCAGCTTCAGTGTTCACCCTGCAAATCTCACCCTTGCCCTAATGTTGCAACCCTAAATGTTTCTCCTTATCTCTGAATTGTGCCCTTTCTCTCTCTCTCTCCCCCACTTTTTGGCTTTTCTCAGTGCTGTAGCCCTGCTGGTGGGAGAGAAGGTACAAGAAGAGACCACTCTAGTGGTGAGTTGTGGGGTCCCCCCTGGGCAGTGGGAAGATGTGGCTGCTCTTCAGTGGATGATTGTGTTTTCTTAAAAGAAAAAAAAAAATTCCACTGCAAGTTATATAGATGCTTCTTCTCGGCTGTGTTTGCTGTCTGCAGGATGATCCCTTTCAGATGAAGACAGGTGGGATGGTGGACATGAAGAAACTAAAGGAAAGGGGCAAAGATAAGTAAGTGCAAAACTGGCTGAGAGGCAAATTCACCTGCAGCCCCTGCCTGGGTCTGTGTTCCCCCAGGGAGCTGGGTCCTGCCGCAGCTTTAATGAGACATCTTGGAGTACCCTTTGTGCTTTGTAAACGGTATGTTGTTTAAAAACAAAGAAAACAAAAACTCTTCAAAAGTTAACTTAGAGTGATGCGGGTAGGCACCTCTTATAAAGGTGCATTGTATATTAACTTTTTTTTTTTTTTTTTAATTTATCCTTGGTTGCGTTAGGTCTTCGCTGCTGTGCATGGGCTTTCTCTAGCTGCGGCAAGCGGGGGCCACTCCTCGTTGCGGTGTGCAGGCTTCTCATTGCAGTGGCCTCTCTCGTTGCGGAGCACAGGCTCCAGGCGCGTGGGCTTCAGTAGTTGTGGCGCACGGGCTCAGTAGTTGTGGCTCGCGGGCTCTAGAGTGCAGGCTCAGCAGCTGTGGCGCACGGGCTTAGTTGCTCTGCGGTACGTGGGACCCTCCCGGACCAGGCCTCGAACCCATGTCCCCTGTATTGGCAGGCGGACTCCCAACCACTGCGCCACCTGGGAAGCCGCTATATATTGTCTTTCAAACCCATGTGGAAGTTGTTTTTCTTTTTTGAGGAAAACATAGAAACAATTACAAAAATAATACAAACAATACAAAAGTGAAATATAAACGAATCTACTCATTCCCCCAAGATATCTCCAGGGGCCGTCAGGGTGCTTGCATATATTCCTAGAGTTCTTTCTATTTACATATCATATATATGTATATATTTCTTGACCATAAATAGGATGTTGTACATTTCGTTGCATACTTGTTTTATTCATGTAACATCGCACTCAGCCTCATTTAGCTGTGACTCTGAGGCTCTGCTTCACTGTTCTCTTTTTTTAGGATCAGCGAAGAGGAAGACCTCCATCTGGGGACGTCATTTTCTGCAGAAACCAACCGAAGGGACGAGGACGCTGACATGTAGGTGTCAGTCTGTTCATCAGTAAGAGATTGGGGGAGGGCTCCAGCCAGACAGAGTCCAAGATATTTTGTCACAGATGACATTTCTAGACTTATCCAAAGACAGCAAATTGGCCCCTCTCGCACCCCTGCCTCCCCTTTCCCCACCACCTGAGGCTTGAGAACTTTGAAAAACTCAAAAATTCTTTAAAAGTGTGGTTCTTGGAATTTTAGATTCCTTGACTAGTAGTGTTCCATCCCCCCAAAATTGCAGGGATAAACAATGGACTTGCCTATTTTTCATTTTGCCAACAAGGCTGTCAAACAAACTACCATCTACCATTATCTTTTTGTCTTCAAAGAACCTTACACATGGTGGGGTAGGACGGAATCTCATAATATATGTTGGTGCTTTAAGTTGAAAAATTTTAGCTCGATTTAAAAACGCAAGTCATTTTTATTTTTCTCCTTCTCCACGGAACGATGGCAACTTCGTCATCAGCCATCATGGCCCCGTGAGCCAGTGTTGGGGACCACTCATTTAAGACCACGCCCCTTTTTGAGGCCTTTGGGTGTCTCATTTCAGGATGAAGTACATTGAGACGGAGCTGAAGAAGCGGAAAGGGATTGTGGAACACGAGGAACAGAAAGTTAAGCCAAAGAATGCAGAGGACTGCCTTTACGAACTGCCGGAAAACATCCGGGTTTCCTCAGCAAAGAAGACTGAGGAGATGCTGTCCAACCAGATGCTGAGCGGCATCCCGGAGGTGGACCTCGGCATCGAGTGCGTTTCAGACCCACGGTTGTGCCCCTCTCCCGCCCCTAGGCAGAAAAGACGAGCTCTCTGCTTTCCAGTTAAAAGTTAAGGGCCTGTTTCTTAACCTGTCTCCTTGGAAACCCACAGACACAAGCTGTCTTCTGTGGCAGGCTGACATGGTTGTTGCCAGGAGTCTCTCTGAAGGGTTGGTCAGAAGTAGTTAAAGAGACAAGGGACTCTGCCTGCCGAAAACAAGAACGTTTTTATTTAGCCTTTGTTCACAGCTCTTCAGCTCTTCTCTTCAGGTCCTTGTATTCTGCTGCTTTATTCTAGCAGGAGCAATGATAAAGGCTCACCCACCCCGTGATCCTTCTTTCATTTTTACTACAAAGCATCTGCTCCAAAAGGGGATTTTTATGGAGGAAATACAGTGGTCATAATCATTTTCAGGTGTGGTAGAAAGTTGGGGGACTTCTGGGCTCTCGCTTCCTTTTTGGCCTTTCTAGCTTTGAGCCTTAGTCAGTTCACCTGACCTCCAGCTCAACTTCCTCTTGATCAGAAGAGAGTAACTCCTGCATCTCCGATGCTGGGAGAGCTCCGTGACAGACCGCAGGCGAGTTGGGGGGGGGGGCTTCCAGCCCCTTTAGTCAGTTCTGCCTGAGGCCCAGAGGTGTGATGATCTCACTGTAGTGTGGCTCCTTTCTCCCCATAGTGCTAAAATAAAAAATATCATTTCCACGGAGGATGCCAAGGCCCGTCTGCTGGCAGAGCAGCAGAATAAGAAGAAAGACAGTGAGACATCCTTTGTGCCTACCAACATGGCTGTGAATTACGTGCAGCACAACCGATGTAAGTGTCACGTCTCTGGGGAAGCAGCTTCAGCCCACGCCATTGGGTTGAGGTCCCTGGGTTCCCAAAGTCTGTCTGACCCGTCCCCTGGTCTCTTTTGGTCCAGTTTATCATGAGGAGCTCAATGCTCCCATACGGAGAAACAAAGAAGAGCCCAAAGCCCGACCATTGAGAGTGGGTGACACAGAGAAGCCGGAGCCTGAGCGTGAGTACAGCAGAGGCCTCGGGCTGCCTGGCGTGACCATTGCCCAGGGCCCGTGGAGGTGGGGAGGGACTCGGCAGGGGCGGTGCTTGGGCTTTGGGGTCAGGGCATCTGGGTTCTAGTCCATTTTCTGGACCATGGTCATGTGCCTTCCCCTTTCCAAGCCTCAGTTTCTTTACCTCTAAGATGGAGATAGTAATAAAACTTACCACTTGGGGTTGCTCTAAGGATTCACTGGGCTGTCAAATATAATACTCAAAAAATTAGAAAATTTCAATAAGCAAAAGTAAATTAAAAGTTAATCATAGTTTCGCCACCCAAAGACGGCCCCTGTTAACATTTTTATATATTTTTATCCCTCAGTATCTGTGGGGGACTGGTTCCCAGACCCGCTGCAGACACCAAAATCTGTGGATGCTCAAGTCCCACAGTCAGCCCTCCGTATCCATGGATGCGGAACCCAGGGATACCAAGGACTGACTGTGTATAACCTTGCTCACTTTTAAAAATTGTACATATGCTGTATACATACTTAATAGGATCTCACAGCTTTTTAGTGTGCTCTGGCTGTCTCTCCATGACAGTAAATACATGTTCCCTTTCAGTGGCCGTATCACGTTCTGCTGTATAGATAGATGTCCTATAGTCTAACCATTTCCCTCTGGCAGGATGCTTAGGTTGTTTCCCATTTTTCCCTATTTAATGATGATCATTCTTGCCTATGTCATGTCCTTAAGCTGCCTTCTGAGAACTCACCAAATGATCCTAATTTGTTCTCCCGCCAGCAACATCCAGCAGTGCCCTTTTCCCACGCGCTCACCAGCACCAGGCGGTGTCATCTTTCTCATCAACAATGTGATGATTCTAAGGAAATGCTAAATTTGCTGAGGCTTCTGAAAATCCAGCCTGTTGCTCTGTTTCTTCCTTCCTACTTGAGAAGTTATTTTCTGTAACACCTTAGGTGTGTAGCCTTTGATTCCCTAAGAGCTTCCTATTATTAATACCTAGGAAGCAGGGACTTTGGAGGCACCAAAGGATTCAACTCAGTCTACCTTCACTTCCTGAGTGACCTTGAGCAAATCAGCTAAACTCTCTGAGCAGAGATGGTAACATGCCCCTGCTAGGATTGCTGGGTGGGTGAAAGGAAGTCTTGCCTAAAAAGATTTAGTGCCATGCCTGGTATGTTGTCAAGCTCTCAATGAAGCGTAGCTACTGCTGTTCACCTGGTCTAACCTTGAAGTCAGCATATTTTGGCTGGCACCTGACTCCACCATGTTTATTGCTATTCACCCAAAAACAGGTACTTACTGAGGCCCTACTATGTTCCTGTTCACTAGAGTAGGCACTGGGGCTCCTGTAGGGAGTGAGACAGGCATGGTCGTCCTTGCCTACGTGGAGCTATGCCTGTTGTTGGCTTCTAGCATGGCAAACAGCTTTTCCTCTTTTCCTTCTCAGGGTCCCCTCCCAACCGCAAGCGTCCTGCCAACGAGAAGGCCACGGATGACTATCACTACGAGAAGTTCAAGAAGATGAACAGGCGGTACTGAGGGAGGCTAAAGGGGAGAGGTGCAAAGTGGGGTATAGACAGTGTCGTTCACTCCCTTTATCCCCCTGATAAAAGGCTTCCTGGACAGAAGCCTGCTCATTGGCTAGCAGACAGTTCCCAAAACAGACTCTATCCGTCCTGCTGCTTACCTGCTGGATTTTTCAGGCACTGAATTTGTAACCTTTTGAAACAATGTGTAGTTTTCCTATCTGGGGACAAACTCTATTCTTGAGAGCATTATTAAATCTCATTTGTAAATATGTTGACTTTCTCCTAATATTTGCCCTGGGTCAGGAGGAAACCGTTGTGTGTTTCAGGGCGAGATAATACCCTTTAGATTGTGGTTTTATTACTATTATATATGCAATCATGTCTCCTGTTTTCAAGTACCTGGAGTGGGGTTCAGAAATGCATCCGTCACTGTTTACAGTGGATCCAGCTGACAGAAAAATCTAGGTTGAGATCAAAGGAACACTGGTATTTTCTGACTTTTACAAAGTTATCTGTTTCTTTTCATTATGAAAGAAAAAATTTCTCATCACTTTTAGCACTTAAGTATTAAATATGAAATGGACCCAGCCTTATTGTTTGTATTGCGTCTTCTTATACCAACGCTTGGTAATGTGTTCAGAGCCTGGGGGTTGAGCAGCTCAAAAGCAAAATTCAATCACTGAGAGGGGTTTTCTCGTTTAGTTTGAGAGAAGGTGGACAGGCTCCAGTCTCTGAGCTGTCAAGTATGGCCCACCTGTGCCATTTTTCCTGAGGTAGTTACCCAGGTTGTGACGAGGAAAGAACAGGTCAGTTGACTCCTGGGCTGATTTAAAGCAGGTATTGTGTGATTAGAGAAGTGTGGCTTTGGAGTCATATCTGAGCCCTGCTCACAGCTTCCTTAAATCGTTGGACAAATCCGTTTGCCTCGGAGCCTGTTTTCTCATCTGTAAACTAGATTTTCTTCTAGCTTTTTTCCCCCTTCACTCGAATGAATGCAAGGCCCCTGAAGGCAGGAATCAGGTGTGCCTCATTTTTTTCTTGAATCCCCAGGATCGAGTCCATAGGCGATCCTCAAAATTATGAATGAATGCGTGGAAGTATCGTTACCTGGGAGAGACCTGACCAGCACTACCTTATCTAGGTGATGAAGGTCAGCATCAACAGTCATAAATCATGTTGACTGTATGTACCTTTTATATGAGGTTATAAAAATAGCACTTTATCTCTGTAAAGTATATTCCTCCCCAAAACCCGTAACTCCAGTCTAATCATAAGGAAAGGCATCAGACAAATTCCAGTAGTTGGGGATCCTACGGAAGATTTGACCAGTACCCCGCCCCCCCCACCGCGCCCAAACTCTCAAGCTCATCAAAACCGAGGAAAGTTTGAGAAACAGCCACAGCCAAGGGGAGCTAAGGAGACATGACAACTAAATATAATGTGGTATCTTGGATGGGTTCCCGGATCACAAATAGGACGTTAGGTAAAACCTAAGGAAATATGAAGAAACTTTAGTTAGTTACAATCTAGCAATATAAGTTCATTAATTTTAACAAATGTAACATACTAATGTAAGATGTTAATAATAGGGGAAACTGTGCGGGCGGAGGTGTGGTAATATGGAGCCTCTCTGTACTGTCCTGTCAACTTTTCTATAAATGTAAAACTGTTCCCAAAAATGTTTTATTAAAAAAAAAATTGGCCCCTCCAGCGGCCCCAGCGCCCAAAGCAGGCAAGGGCCGTGCCCCTCACAAAGATGGCGACCGCCGGCGTCGGAGGAGGTCCGCCCGCTACAAAGATGGCGGCCCCGGCGGGAGGGACCGGAAGTGCAGTCTGGCGGTAGCGCCGGTTTGCGGTAGGCGTGAGAACGCGCGGGACGGCGCGGGTCTGGGCATGAAGCTGGGCCGGGCCGCACTGGGCCTGGTGCTGCTGGCGCCGTTGGCGGTGCGGGCGGTGGAGCCCATCAGCCTGGGACTGGCCCTGGCCAGCGTCCTCACCGGCTACATCTCCTACCCGCGCCTCTACTGCCTGTTCGCCGAGTGCTGCAGCCAGAAGCAGAGCCTCAGCCGGGACGGTAGGATGGGGAGGGGGCTGGAGGCTGGGGGCTGGTGCTAGGGCTGGGGCGGGGGTCAGAGGCTGGGGTCCAGGAGGCCCGGAAGCCCGGGAAGCGCTGAGGCCGGCGGGGGCTGGACCCGGAACCGGAGTGCGCGATGGGGCCTGGCTCCTGGGCCACGGCCACAGGCAGACCGGACTTTGGTCGGAGACCTGCGGAGGCCAGCTGTTGTTTGGGCACCTTCGCTCAAAAACTGGGAGTGTGGACGATTGGAAACTAACTCCAGAGAGTTTTTACTCCTTCCTCGCCGGAGACGGGAAGGCTGGTGGGGACTCTTCTGGCGCGGAGCAGTGGAGGCCGAACCGCCGCCCTTTTCCTGCCGGGCGTGGGGTGGGAGGGACCGAGCGGGGATGAGGGGCTCACGCTGGTGGCGGAGGCACTGGAGCCAAGGGTCTCTTCAGGAAGGAGGGCTCGGGAACGGGCAGGACTAGCAGAGGGAGGGCCTGCTGGACCCGCCGGTCACCTGGGCCAAGTGCTTACCTACATCCGCGTCTAACTAGACGCTTGAAGAGCTTAGCGGGCTTTGCTGGCTTTCACATGAGCCTGTAAACTGGGCTGCGTTTTGCCACGTGTGTCCCCCTCCTCCCCGCCTGACTGGCTTTGTTTTTCCCAGCGCTGCAGAAGGATCTGGACAGCAAGCTCTTTGGACAGCATCTTGCAAAGAAAGTCATCTTAAATGCTGTGTCTGGCTTCATAAGCAACCCAAAGCCCAAGAAACCTCTCACCTCTCCCTA